CACCTCCCCTTCGCTGCTCGCCTCCCTGTTGCAGCAGTCGTGGAACGAAGGAGCGCAACGCGAAGCGGCCAGGAAACTTGGCTTAATGAAGACGTGTTTGATGTAGACCTGGCGTTGTCCGTGCTGAACACTGGGCGGGGGCCTAAGGACAGATCCCCTTCTGAACTCTAGGGAGAAAGGATGTCTCCTGGGATATCTGACCCAAGGGCTGTGGACTGATGCCAAGCTGCTCAAGCCGGGTATGTTGTCACTCAGCCTTTCTGCCAATGCGGGCATCGCAGTGATGACATACTGCATTGGCTGTGCGAATGCCCACTGTCTCAGCCGCTCCGGGACTCGATGTTCACACCCGATCAAAGCGAGGATTTCGAGTGGTATGTAGGGAACCGCCATCCTCTCCTGGCGGGTTTTCAACGGGCGGCCCAATTTTGAGCTGTGCCACGCTCTGGGCTCTGGGCTGGAAGCTGCAGATTGTTGGTGCGCCGATCCAGACGTCTCTGTGGAGCAGGCCCTCCGAGGCAGACTGTTCACACACGGATCGTGCTGCAAGTCAGGGGCCGAATCTTTCCATGGTGCTGGATGGGTGGCTGCTCGCCTCCATGACAGCGGGAACCCCACGCGGCTCTCGATGGACCAGTTGGGACCGCCTTCCCGCGGACATCCCCAACAGTCGAATGGATCGCACTGTGCGCTGCTGCTACGAAAGGGTCCGGAAACCACGATGAAGGGGCCTGGGACACACAAATAAATACGCAAATAAAAAATGCCCCATATTTTCCTATACTTTCTAGGTTTTTGTCTTCCCCACCACTTCCCATATTTTCCCATATTTTCTGGAGGATCGACGATTCATTGTGTCTGTGTTTTTTTCCCTCCTGACACGAATTCGTCACTGATTTCATGGGGACCCTCAGTCTCGCGTGCGTCGCGCTGCACAGGGCGTCGCGCTGCGCAGGCCTCAGCAAACTCATCCTTTCAAGAGGCCCAAGGACACACACACATAAATACACACAAATAACAAGGTTCCCCATATTTTCTCATAGTTTCTGGGTTTTTGTCTTCCCGCCCAATTCCCATGTTCTCCCATACTTTCTTGGGGATCGACGATGAATTGTGTCTGTGTGCTTCTTTCCCTCCTGATTCTCGAAGGCCCAAACGTGGACTCCGACCTGCCATGTCAGCAAAATGATCGGCCACCAGGACGTAGACTCGTTGTGTGCCGGCACGGGCGAGCACTTCAGAGCACTCGGGAATCCCCATGCCGACGATTTTGAACGGGACCCCAGATTGCTGGCCGTTTTCATGATGTATGTATTGTCGGGGGCTTGACCTAAGGAACCCCAAATAAGGAACGAGGCCCCTTTCTTCCATGAGTTAAACTTCGATTTCCGATCGAAAACACAAGGAAAACCTGAGGCAAGCTGCGAAACACTGAAGGAACGCGGAGCCCCTCCCCAATGAAAAGGGTTCCTTCTTCAGGGCCCCGACTGTAAGTCAAGCCCTCACCTTGTGGCCCCAGCTGGCAACCACACGCGCCGGCAAACACAAGTTTAGGAGGGGCCCCAGGCCCAGGGCTAGGACCCAGAGAGTTGCGCAGGCTTCTCGAGAAATTGTGGCGCAACCTGTCGAGGGGGAGGCCGCCATTCTCTCGGGAGCCGCCCCATCTCCACAACCCCCTTTTCACCTCCTCCTGAACCTCCGTTCGAGCCCCGTGGTCGTCGTCTTTCTCCCCCCCCCCGGAAGGGAGAGGGACACGAGGCTCTAGCCCACGCTTGCTTTTGGAGGCAGACAAAGTGGGTGTGCGCCCGCTGCCTGGCGTGGGCGTGCAAGGGACAGCACCAAGCCTCGCCTGCCCAGGCCGCAGCAGTCCACTGTCAGGTTTACTTCAAGAGCCTACTCCAGATTTCGTAATAAAGGGAGGGGGGTCTCATTTCGGGGGGGGGGTCTCTTCCGGGCTATCCTGGAGGGCCTGGGGGGGTCTGGGGACGATGTTTTGGAGGGTTCTCCCACGGAGGGGGGTCTGAAATGTCAGGGGGACGTAAGACCTGGGTACAAGGGACTCGAAAATCCCCGACGAATTCGTCAAAAAATGACGAGGCCGAGCCTGCATTTTGACGAGACCTCCCGCTGCAGACATCCCACGAACCTCCTCCTCGTCAAAATCCGAGGCGCGGTGGTCAAAAAACCATGGCGAACCCGGGTCCTGGCAAACCCGGGTCTTACGCTCCCCCGAAAATGGCTTGTCTTGGAGGGTCCAGACCCCCTCCCTTTTATTACGAACACTGTCATGTTTACTCCAGATTTTCGTAATAAAAGGAGGGGGTCTGGACCCTCCAAGACAAGCCATTTCAGACCCCCCCCCGTGGGAGAACCCTCCAAAACATCGTCCCCAGACCCCCCAGGCCCTCCAAGATGGCCTGGAAGAGACCCCCCCCCCGAAATGAGGCCCCCCTCCCTCTATTACGAAATCTGGAGTACTTCAAGAGCCCAGGGGGCACAGGCTCTTACTGCTTCCCTCCCCTAGCTGACGAGGAGGCCTTCCTTCCTTAGCTGACGAGGAGGCCTTCCTTAGCTGACGAGGAGGCCTTTTATTACGAGATCTGGAGTAGGGGGCACAGGCTCTGAAATGCTTCCCTCCCTTAGCTGACGAGGAGGCCTTCTCGACCTCGGCTGCGCGAGCTGCAGCTGCGGAACCCACGCTTCGAGAGACCCGCCGCGCTGCCTTTTGCCCCAGGAGGCGTCCTGGAGGCCTCTCGCGCCGGAGGCCCCAAGCAGCACCGCGGGGGCCGGATGTTGAAGGGGCAGCATCCACGGACTGAGAGGGGGAAAAGCATTGTTTTAGGCCCTGGGGTGGTCTGGGGACGATGTTTTGGAGGGTTCTCCCACGGGGGGGGTCTGAAATGGCTGGTCTTGGAGGGTCCAGACCCCCTCCCTTTTGTTACGAGATCTGGAGTAGGGGGCACAGGTTCTGAAATGCTTCCCTCCTTTAGCTGACGAGGAGGCCTTCTCGACCTCGGCTGCGCGAGCTGCAGCTGCGGAACCCACGCTTCGAGAGACCCGCCGCGCTGCCTTTTGCCCCAGGAGGCGTCCTGGAGGCCTCTCGCGCCGGAGGCCCCAAGCAGCACCGCGGGGGCCGGATGTTAGGGGGAAAACAAGGATCCCTCAGCCTCAGCAGCCTCAGCATCAGCTTAGGAGGAGCAGCAGGAGGAGGAGCAGCAGGAGGAGGAGGAGGAGGAAGAGGAGGAGGAACAGCAGCATCAGCAGCACAGGCACCCCACCCAGCAGCGGGCGGCAGCGGCTGCGCGTGCAGTGGCGGCGGCAGCGCCCGCGCCTCCGCCCGCCCACGTGCCTCCGCCCGCCCACGCGCCTCCGCCAGGCAGCGCGGCAGAGGGAGCATAGGGGGAAAACAAACCTACCTCGCTTTTGACCACCCTCGCTTCCAAGAGATACCAAGCGATGCCAAACTACGGCCTGTACTGGTCAGGCCGCTTGACGAGGAGGCGCGCGGTATGACTTGGTGTTGCCTGGAAGCGAAAGCGGGGTAGGTAATTCACGCTCTGAGATGTTGAAGGGGCAGCATCCACGGACTGAGAGGGGGAAAAGCATTGCTTTGGGCACCCCTGCGTCCCTAGAGTGCCTCCCGAGGGCAGCCCGCCAGCAGCGTGGCGCAAAAAGGAGAGCAGCAGCAGCAGCAGCAGCGGGAGCAGGGGGTACTGGCGGGGCCTCCCTCGTGCGAGTGCGCGGCCGCCTGCAATCGCTCCTTGATGGGTAGGGCGAGGCAGGGGTCAGATTCTCCATACTTCTCGTCAACCTCCTCCTCCTCCTCCTCCTCCTCTTCCTCCTCCTCCTCCTCCCCCTACTGTTCCTCCTCCCCTTCCTCCTCCTCCTCCCCCTCCTCCTCCTCCCCCTCCTCCTCTACTCCTCCTCCTCCTCCTCCTCCCCTCCTCCTCCTCCTCCCCTCCTCCTCCTCCCTCCTCCTCCTCCACCTCCTGCCATCTCTCCTCTTCCCCTTCCTCCTCCTCCTCCTCCCCTCCCCTCCTTATCCTCCTCCTCCTCCTCCTCCTCCTCCTCTCCTCATCGTCGTCCGTCGTGGTGGTCGTCCCGTCGTCGTCGTCCGTCGTCGTCGTCGTCGTCGTCGTCGTACATGTCGTCGTCGTCGTGAATGTCGTCGTCGTCGTCGTGAATGTCGTCGTCGTCGTCGTCGTGAATGTCGTCGTCATTGTCGTCGTCGTCGTCGCTCGTCGTCGTTCGTCGTCGTCGTCGTCGTCGTCGTCGTCGTCCGTCGTCGTCCGTCGTCGTCTGTCGTCGTCGTCGTCCGTCGTCGTCCGTCGTCGTCTGTCGTCGTCGTCGTACATGTCGTCGTCGTCGTGAATGCCGTCGTCGTGAATGTCGTCGTCGTCGTGAATGTCGACGTCGTCGTCGTCGTCGTCGTCGTCATCGTCGTCGTCGTCGCTCGTCGTCGTTCGTCGTCGTCTCGGTCGGTCGGTCGGTCGGTCGGTCGGGGGCGGCGGCGGCGGCGTCCTCCTCCTCCTGCTCCTGTTCCTCCATCCCCTCCTCCCCCTCCTCCTCCTTCTCCTCCACCCCCTCCACCTCCCATCCCCCTCCTCCTCCGCCTCCTCCTCCTCCTCCGCCTCCTCCTCCTCCTCCGCCTCCTCCTTCTCCTCCTCCTCCTCACTCTCTTGGAGTGGGGCGGCTACATGGCATGATACACTGGATGTCTGGCGGAAAAGGGGGATTGGGAGAGGGATGGCGCACGTACGAGTCGTTTCCCAGCTGCTGCGGCTCGACAGAGCGCGGGTCGGTGCAACTGGCTTGCTGGCCACACCTCGCCTCCGGAAAGGGTGTCCTTGGCCACTGGTCATGGGTGTCAACATCAGCCCTCCTCCTCCTCCTCCTCCTCCTTCTCCTCCTCCTCCTCCCTGGATGCAAAGTCGGCGACCGCGGCTGCGACGACGACGGCCACGCCGACGACGGCGGCGACCCTGGGCGCGGCGTCTTGCCTCATCCACGGCCCTGCCGCGGCGTTTGCCGGCGGAGGCCGCGCCACCAGCCTGGGCGTGACGACGGTGAAGGGGAGGAGGGGATGCATGGCGAAAGCGACGACCACGACGCCGAGACCGCGGGGTGGGCGGGGGAAGGAACTGGGAAGATGGAGGGGGGCAAGGGGGATGAGGGGCAGGAGGGGCTGAGCGGGGGCAGTAAAAGGATCATCAGCACGGGGCCGCGGAGCCGCGTGGCAAAGGGGTCACGAGCAAAAGGAAGAGAGACGAGAAAGAGGAAGGGGGAGAGATGCAGGGACGGAGCAAGGCAATGAGAAGAACGCGGAGGGAAAGGGATTGAGGAGGGAGGGGGGCGGGATGGGTGAGGCAGGAGAGAGGAACGAGGAGGACGACGAGGACGACAGGAGGTGTAGGCGAAGGCAGATGCGGACGAGGAAGGGAGGGCAAAGAGGACGAGGAGAACGAGGGCGGCCGAGACGAGCAGGGAGCGATGAGGGAAGCAGAGGGAGGGCAGCGGAGCGAAAGGTGAGGAAACACGGGCAGCCGGAGGAGGACAACGCCATGGACGGCGACGGCGGCGGCCTCCGAGAGCCTCCGAGGGCCTCCCACAAACTCCAAAGGCCTCCAAACATCCGGAGTTCGACGACGACGACGGACGAAGATCGACGACGTCGACGATGACGACGGCGACGGCGACGCCATCACCACCACCAACAACAACAACATCGTCGTCATCATCACCATCACCATCACCATCACCACCAGCGTCATCACCACAATCGTCATCACCACTGGTGCACTGGCACGGCGGCTCCAGGGCAATGCAGGGCAACGCATGCTCGAGATTGACCTAGGACAATATGATACGCATGATCACCCCTCCGAGCATCGCTTTGCACGGGCAAAACGCGGGAATCAAACTTCTTCCCACCCGGCAAGGGTAAGAAAAAACAGGCGCGATACTAGATGAGACATTCTGGGGACAGCTTCGGTCTCCACAAAAGGAAACCCTATACTTAAGTCAAGCGTGTCCTCCTACAGGCGGAATTTTGGGCGAACAACAAAAAAGGTATACGAATATTCAAAAGTTGTCAAAAAGATGTAGACAAACTGTGCCCAGACGATTTTCTGACTATTCTCGAGTAGTCCTCCTGTCAAGGAACATGCCCGCCTTAACCTTAAATCCAGAAATGCCTCCGAGAAAGTGCAGCAAGAACTCGGGCCCGTCTTCCAGAACCCGGGAGGGAGGGGATGAAGGGGCCATGACACACACACACACACACAGATAAATACACACTAACAAAAGGATTCCAAATATTTTCCCATATTCTCTGGGTTTCCTGTCTTCCCCCCCACTGCCCATATTTTCCCATATTTACGGGGGAATCGACGATTACTCCAGACTTCGTAATAAAGGGAGGGGGTCTCATTTCGGGGGGGGTCTCTTCCAGGCTATCTTGGAGGGCCTTGGGGGGTCTGGGGACGATGTTTTGGAGGGTTCTCCCACGGGGGGGGGGTCTGAAATGGCTTGTCTTGGAGGGTCCAGACCCCCTCCCTTTTATTACGAGATCTGGGGTAATTGTGTCTGTGTGTTTCTTCTCCTCCTGAGGGGAGGGCGCTCCTCGGGCGCGGGCCCCACTGCAGCAGCGCGCGGCCCCACTGCTCGGCGAGAAGGGCGCGCAGCCGCCCCGCCGCTGCAGAGGATCGCGTCGGACGCCTGCTCCGGCACTGTCGCTGCCGAGACTCGCGGGAACGAGCTTTCATTTGCACGCCCGAAATGGGTACCGAAAGAATGTGTACGATGCCCAACGGCAGTTCCTGTTCATTCTGAACAGGACTCGCTGTCCGCGCCGCCGTGGCCTGTGTCCATTCGAGACAGAAGGCCGCCTGCCCAACAGCGGCCGCTGTTGGTTTGGGACAACATTTGTTGTTGGGCATCGTACCAATTTTTTCGGTACCCATGTCGGGCGTCCAAATTTCAGCGAGGGCCCGCGCTGGTGGAATAGATTTCCGCAACAGTGCTTTTAGGTCGGGCTTGTCCCCCTACGGGCGGATCTGGGGCGAAAAATCTAACATGCCCAAACATCATTACCCCCAGATAGTCAGCAATAAGGCCAAAAGAAGTCATTCCCAGACAATTGCTTTACTGCTTTTGAATGTTCCTCCTGTAGAGGGACAGGTCCGACTTAACAGTATTTCCCGCATCCATGATGGCATGCTCGATGCTGCGGTGGTCGTAGGCGTCCATGTTGCTAGCCGCTGCAGCCCTCTCCGTCTGATGAACCACCCGCTTCCCCAGGCTCTGTACAATGGCAGAGAAACCGTCCGTCTTCCGTGCGAAGGGCCAGGACGACGTCTTCAGCCGATTTCAGGAATACCGGGCGCATTGCAGCCAGTGTCGGAGATAGGGACGGGTACCGGCAGATCCTGGGACATATCAAAGCTATGCTTGGTCTCCACCGTGCGGATGAGGTCTTCCCACGCCTGATTCTCCAGCCTGAGCCCGCGTCGGCGTGCACGGCGGAGACCCCGAGTCCGCAGAGGCTCAGTATAGGGCGCAAGACCAAGGCGGATGGAAGCAAACAGCAGCTCCAGGCCACACCACAAAAAAACTCCTCCTCCTCGTCCTCCTCCTCCTCCTCCCCCTCCTCCTCCTCCTCCTCCTCCTCCTCCTCTTCTTCCTCCTCCCTCTCCTCCTCCTCCTCCTCCTCCTCCTCCTCCTCCTCCTCCTCCTCCTCTTCCCTCCTCCTCCTCCCCTCCTCCTCCTCCTCCTCCTCACTCCTCCTCCTACCTCCTCCTCCTGCCCCTCCCCTCCTCCCCCTCCTCCTCCCCTCCCCTCCTCCTCCTCCTCCTCCTCCTCCTCCTCCTCCTCCCCTCCTCCTGCCTCCTCCTCCTCCTCCTCCTCCGCCTCCTCCTCCTCCTCCTCCTCCTCCTCCTCCTCCTCCTCCTCCTCCTCCCTCCTCCTCCTCCTCCTCCTCCTCCTCCTCCTCCTCCTCCTCCTCCTCCTCCTCCTCCTCCTCCTCCCTCTCCTGCACATGGCAGTGGTGGTGGACAAGGGTCCGCACTGGCTGCGCCGCGACGTCCTCGATCCTGGCACGTGGAGGTCGTCAGGTTCTCCGACGGCCGCGAAGGGGGAACTGAAGCCAGACTTGTTGAACATCGCGAAACACTTGCGAACCGAGGTGGGGACAACGACCTCGAGGAATGCCCTCTCGATGAGCAGGACAGCGGCCTCCTGGTTGTGAGAAAATCGACGCGCGCGAAAGTACCGGGGGTAAATGCTCCAGACGCCGTACGAGGTGAGGATCGTATTCGTTTCCCGCACCAGCCCCATGCCTTTCGCTGGGAAAAAAACACCCGGCGTTCGTCGTCGAACAGCTGCCCATCCAGGCGTCCATGCAATCCTCGGGCGCGTCCTTCGAAGGGTCCACGGTGGCCAAGTTCGAGTCAGCGCCGTGTCGGAGTGGCTCGAGCTCGGACGAAAGAGCCAAGTGGCAACGGACGACCGGAGGCTGAAGATGCCCCTTTCTGAAAATATCCCATCCGCGCCGCAGTCCACGGAATCTGTCGCGCGGTCGGCGAAGTCGAGGGTGTCGGCGTAGTTCAAGGTCTCCACCTGGTGATCGACGCTGCTGTGCTGTGCGGGCCGATATGGGAGGATTTCTGGTAACATGACAACATGACGTGGGGCGAACTCTTCAAGCAGGGCATCCGTCACAGAAGCGTCATCTGCTGGAGCCACAGTGCATCCAGCTAGAAAGAAGGGAGGAGCGTGGAGGTCGAGCTGCTGGAGCATCTGGTATGCGTTCGCGTCGGCAAGACCGCCAGGAACGACCGCATGCATGTCCAACCTGGCCGGGAAGGAAAGACGCACAGTATCTTGAGGGTCTCGCCGCTCTCGGCCTACAGCAGCACAGTCAAGCTGGAGGTCCCGACACGCACGCCTCGCCGAAAAGGCAAGAGCGGACGAGGCAAGCATAAGCACGGAGCGCTTCACTGTCCCGCTCGAGGATACCTCGGCCTGCTTGGCGACGGTGACGACGACCGACCGACGGCGGACGACGGACGACCGCCGCCTCCTCCTCCTCCTCCTCCTCCTCCTCCTCCTCCTCCTCCTCCTCCTCCCCTCCCACCTCCTCCTCCTCCTCCTCCTCCTCCTCCTCCTCCCCTCCTCCCCTCCTCCCCTCCTCCTCCTCCTCCTCCTCTCCTCCTCCCTCCCTCCTCCTCCTCCTCCTCCTCCTCCTCCTCCCTCCTCCTCCCTCCTCCCCCTCCTCCTCCTCCTCCTCCTCTCCTCCTCCCTCCTCCTCCTCCTCCTCCTCCTCCTCCTCCTCCTCCTCCTCCAGGCGCCGCTGGGCGGGCGGCCGAGGCCGCGCCGCCACCGGCGAGCGGCGCCGCGCCCGGCGCAGGCCGCCGCGCGGGGCGCGCGGGCTCCTCCAGGCTCGGCGAGCGCGGGGCGTGAGCGCCTGCCGCGGGCGCGGGCGCCCCGGCTCGGGCTCGGGCTCGGGCGCGGCTCCGGGCTCGGGGTGCGGCTCCGGGCTCGGGCGCGGCTCCGGGCTCGGGCTCGGGCGCGGCTCTGGGCTCGGGGTGCGGGCCGGGGCTCTGGCTGTGGGCCATGGGGCTCGGGCAGGGGCTGGGGCGGCGAGGCACGAGGGTCGAGGTGCGCGTGCTGGACGCCTTTGCTCGTCCTGGGGCGCCCTCGTGGCCACAGGGGAATCCAGTCCGAAGTTCTGGTCATAACGCACACCAGGAGAGTGCGAGGGGCCGATGTGTGACCTCTGATCAGCGGCATCGACAGGGGCGCATGGATGCGGGGTCCCCCTAGAGGACCCGTAAGGCCCTTCAGAGGCTCCTCATGGGCCCCTCTGAAACACCCAAAAGAGGACCACAGCCTCCTCCTCGCTCCTCCTCCTCGTCTTCCTCCTCCTCCTCCTCCTCCTCCTCCTCCTCCTCCTCCTCTTCTCCTCCCTGGCGGCGGCGTCGACGTCGAAGACGGCGACGGCGGCGGCGACGTCCACCGCGGCGACGGCCTCCCAGGGAGCCCACGCCGTCGGT